AGATGCAGACAGAGGGGGACAGGGAGACAGAGGGAGACGGAGACAGAGGCAAACAGAGGGAGACAGAAACAGAGGCAGACAGATACAGACAGAGGGACACAGAGGCACACAGAGGCAGACAGAAGCAGAGGCAGACAGAGGGAGAGAGGCCCGTCATTATCCCTGCTTCTCAATCTCCTCGTCTGCTTTAAGGGCCAATTAAACACAATATTCAAACATTTTAAATGCATCTAAAACGTCAGTCTGTGCAGAGCTGTCACGATTACTCGATTAAACTCAATTACTCGATTACTAAAAAGCATAGATGAAAAATTTTCCTTCTCGATTCCTCGGCAATATGGCGGAAGGGAGACGGTGCACAGTGAATGAAGCTGAAAGTAAAACCCTCAGTTGTGTGGTAGCCTTTCAGATTAAAAGTGAAATGCAGGCTTGTGTCAGTATTGCAAAACAGAACTTAACCACCACCACAGAATGACTGCAACACAAAAGAAGATATTCAGGTTTAAAGGACTCATCCAATAATGTGAGGTTAGCAATAGATATGTGTCATTTAGTCTCTCACAGTAGCCTAGTGGTATATTGGTGTTATTTGTGCCAATACAATGCAGTGCCGAAAATCACTTGCTTTTGTTCAATATCGCGTCTATGAAATACAAAATATTTCCATACAAGTGAAGACAAATGTCTTTTCATGAGCAGTTATTGTTCGCTTTTCTTCTCTTCGCTCATTTTGTTTAATTTCTCACGTGCTGCATGGTCTATGACTGAGTCAAACAGCAAGAACGATAATGATTATGATTGTCTCAGAGAGTACATGCAGAGCTCATGCAAAAGTGGTAAACTTTAGACAAATGTTTTTTTTTCCACATATACTAGATAAAGAAATTTTCTTTCCTTTGACTGACCCAAAATGTTTTAGTGCAATGAATTGATGGTTTGATCCCAGCAGACTACTGCAGTTCTTGCAGTGCAACAACTGCATGTGCATATTAACATGGCACATGGTACAAGCCAGTTAGGGCAGCGCAGTGGTGCAGTGGGTAGTGCTGTTAGTTTGCATGTTCACCCTGTGTGGGCGTGGTTTTTGGGCGGTCTCCAGTTTCCTTCCTCTGTCCAGAAACATGCAACTTAAATGCATTTAGTTGACCGCATGTGTGACCCTGCAATGGTTGGTTGGCTCCTGCCTTGCACCAAATGCAATGTATCTATTATATTATATTATATTATATTATATTATAAACCATTACTCAGTGAAACGTCAAATGAATCGGTAGATGCCTCAGTTGCTGATATAATCAGTACTGACAGCACTAGTCTGTGCATTTACTCTTTTCTGTGCTCCTCACCCGGCTGTTCTTCTCCATCTCCATCAGGACCCTCTTGTGCTGCTCGGCGATGGCCAACGTGGCAGAGTGGACCCTCTGGTAGATCTGCTCTCCTTCTCGTGTCTGGAAGGTGTAGAGGCCCTCACCACTGTCGCACATCCTGAAGCACATGTGGGCATGCACACACACACACACACACACACACGATCAGGTAAGCATCACTCATAAACACTGCTATACAAACAGTAGTAGTAATGGTAGTTATGTATAGTCCCTGTAACCCCGATCAGGACGAGCATACCAAGAACACTGATGGATGGATATAGTGTAGCACTATACTGGATTCCATATTCATTCATATTAACTGCATAGACCATATAATTCCTCAGTAATATCAACATTAGAAAGTAACTACAACAGTGTAAATGTAAATGAGCTCCGCAAGCCAGCTGGGAATATGCAGCTACAGAACAGGTACCAGATGGAAAAAGCAACGGCACTATGGGAAATGTAACACACTACCTCTACCACAAGGGGGCAGTGCATTGTCACCTTTTAATAAGGCTTAGGCAAGAGGCACTACCCCACCCCCACCCCCCACCCCCTCCCGGCACATCTACCAGTGCATAAAAGATACGGTTTATTTCATCAATGAGAATTATGCCCCAGGAGAGCAGGCCTTTCCTTATAATCTGTTCGATCAATATCATCACAGTTTTGGGACAGGCCTGTTCTGAGTGTCTCCATCAGAGTGTCTCATTCGGGCCGCCTTATTAAACAGCCCAGATTGATGCAGGGAAGCTCACTTTGCTGGATCACACTCCAGATAGCTGTGCCAGGCCTGTTCACCAAACTGCCACGATGCAGAGGCCTCAACTGTTACTCTGTTTACCCAGAGTCTTTCTTCTCCTGCCAGTCCTCGTCAGTCTCAATCTGTCCTCCTTGTATCCTGCCTGAATTTTCTTCTTCTGCCGCATTCCATCTCCCACTGGTTCCTTCTCTTAATTATGCTCAAGCCGACCCAATTAAGCCGATTGTGAAGAGCTAGGTTGTTATCTCCTGTCTTAGTATCCCATTTATGTGCATCATTTGTTCTATCTGTCAATCGTTTGACCGTCCAAACCTTCCAGCTTCGAAGGTGAAGCGGGTGGCGTCGCGGCCGTAACGCCGCAAGGAGCAGAGGGGCCAGGTGACCAGCTTTGTGCGAGGATTGTGGATGTCCCACAGGTAGATGTTCTCGTGGGTGATCTGCATCATGCACTCCCCGTAGATGTCCAGATTGGGACAGGGTAACAGGAACACATTGAAGCGCTCTGCCGAGGAACATCAGTGCAGGTACCCATCACATACAGCAGGTTCAGATGTCAGGCACAAACAACGATCCCACAGAGATTGGGGATCCCGGCTACAGATGCTCACCGGTGTGCTCACACTGAACTCCTGCTGCCAGGAGGTCTGGCTCGCCAAGGCTGATGTCATTGAGGCGGGTCCCAAGGCACTCAATGGACAGGGTCTTGAACCACTCCTCAGCTTCCAACTCTAAAAGTGGAAGAAAAGACAAGTGAGGCTGTCATTGATCGAGCAGAACAAAAACAAGCATAACAGTTAATAAATAAAACATGCAGCCATGTTGGATTAGAGAGGTTGGTAACACTTAATGCACTCATATATAATGCATTATATATACCTTCATAATGCATTATAATACATTCATAACGTATTATAAACACTATTCATAAATACCTTTATAATGCAATACAAAATATCCTTAATTCTTATATTGACCATTATAATGCATCATGAAGGTATTTATAATGCATTATGATGACTGCTTTAAGTAAAGTGTTACCGAAAGTTTGAATAAGGATTAACACTTTAGACATTATTAATAATCCTAATTAAAAGGGTGAAGAATGTTCTTAATTTAAGTAGGAGTTAATTAAGTTTGACTGTCCAATGCATTGATGTATGACTGAAGATGGTTAACTGACCCTGAGGGAACTGGGCCCGATATCCAGCCCCTAATTGATGACCGGGTACCTGAGTCGCAGGTGAACGTGCGTGAGGTGTCATCTGGGAAGACGATGGCCACGGCCTGGCGCTTTGTTTCCCGTGGAAGCCGTGTCACGTTCTTCACGTTGCTGATCTCCGTCACCTAAGGGAGGGCACAAACGATGGGATCAGGGAGCACCTGGGCTGCAGGTGTCGGCATGGGTGGATCCCCGGCAGGGACACGATGGCCGATTGCCCAGGACGGCATCTTCTGAGGCGGCACCGAGTTTGCAAACCACTGTCACCCCCCCTACAGCAAGCTGGCACCTCCCTGGTGCCCACCGGCTAAGACAGCGTGAGATCAGGTGGTGGATTTTGCCAGAATGGCTGGTAGTAAAGGTTGCCCAGGGTCCCACAAGTGCATCGACCAGCACCGGGTGTGGGCTTGGACGGCAAACAGGATGGTGTGAAGGATGTGTGAAGGATGTGTGAAGGACCGAAATATAACAATCTGAAGTATGGGGGAGTCTTCTTGAAAAAGACGGGGGACTGGAAGTATTTCAAAAAGGAGAACAGGGGAGTTCTGAGTAACTAATTATGGGCTGAAAAATGAATGATTGTGATGATTGATGAATGCCTTATGAAGAGGCTCTCGCTGCGGAGAAATCCTTCACATTGAGAACGTGGGAGATGGAGAAACTGCGAGACTCAACAAAGGCACCGTGACTGGGGGGCTTCTGCGCCATCGCATCTTTTGATGTTGACTCTAACTGCAGATCTAACACTTCCTCACATCTGCTTCTTCTCCTCTGAGTTCCCTGTGACAGGTGCAGCAACGAGCGCCCGGAGATATGCGCAGGCCCAACCGCCACACCTTCGTTCTGCAGACCCACCTCACGACCTGCTAAGCCCCATTTCCGGGCGAATCACTAAAAATATGCACACCCTACTGCAACAATACACGCAGTTCACATTCTCCAGCTGCAAACTGTACACCCTTGTCAGTCACTGTATAATCAGAGTACTGGATTTTCAGAATGAAAATAACTGGCTAACCATTATATTATTAACATGAGGGCGGATGCAAATGTACTTTGAAAATGTTGGATAACAAAACATGTAATTATAATGAATTTCCAGAGTCTATCCATCTGCTCTATATACATAACCAAGAAATTCAGCTTTGCCTATTCATTTATTCCTCATTTTCATTTTTAATTTAGTTTTTAGTTTAACATTATTTAGTTAAACATTAGTTTTCATGTGAAATCCAGTTTAGTTTTAGTTAGTGTCCCATGTGGTTTTATTAGTTTTTATTTTAATAAGATATTTTTATTATGGGGTAGCATGGTGGTGCAGTGGTTAGCACTGCGGGGCGGCATGGTGGTGCAGTGGTTAGCGCTGCGGGGCGGCATGGTGGTGCAGTGGTTAGCACTGTTGCCTCACACCTCTGGGCCCAGGACTGAAGGCCCCATGTGTGTGGAGTTTGCATGTTCTGTTACATGTTCTTCCCGTGTTGTCATGGCGTTTCCTCTGGGTACTCAGGTTTCCCCCCACAGTTCAAAATCATGATGAGGCTAACTGGAGTAACCGAATTGCCCGTATGTGTGCGTGAAGGGGCTGTGAGTTTGCCCTGCGATGGCTTGGTGCCCCATCCTGGGTTGTTCCCTGTAGGACAGGCTCCTGACCCCCCCACAACCCTGAAAAGGCCAAGCGGTTAAAGAATATGGGTGGAGTTCTATTGAGCTTTTACATATTTTATTTTCGGTTTAAGTTTTCGGAATTTTATTTCTAGCGATAGGTTGAAAGTTGTATAGCTGTTTTATGTGTCTGATCTTTAGAAAATCCTACATGAATATGCAGCGCACATTATGTACTAATGTCCTCAATCCAGACAAAACCTGTTACAGGTATTATTAAGGGTAAATAAAGGTCAACAAAACATTACTTTTGCTAAAGAAAGTATTTTTTCTATTTCAGTCAGACTATTTTTGTTTAGCTGTAGTTTTAAAATATTTATTTTGGATATTATTTTATTTCAGTTTACAAACATGTTTGCGTATAATTTTAGCATCGGTTCTCGTTAACGGTAATAACCCTGGCTGTATTACAGCTAAGCATCAATGTGGATGTTCATGTGCGAGCAGAAACGCAGCCTACCTTAGGGCAGGCCCGGATGTGCGAGCAGAAACGCGGCCTACCTTAGGGCAGGCCCGGATGTGCGAGCAGAAACGCGGCCTACCTTAGGGCAGGCCCGGATGTAGGCCGACTTCTCATCAGGATACTTCTCCAGACGCCGGGGACCTTTACTTGACGACTTCTTAAACACCAGCCAGCAGCGGCGATAGATCTGGAGACGGAAGATACACCAGTCATATCTTTAAACGGTTTATCCCTCTGCCAGCATCACATTAAAAAACATGCAGTAAATGTGAAACCACTGATTAGCCATAGTAAGTGTACTCACACAATCAGCCTTTGTGATTAAACGAATACACAAACAATTGTACCCATTTAACATGTTACAGCTGAGAGATTTAACGATTCAATGATGAGATACTCTTGGGGTCTTTAGCAGCATAATTCCTCAGTTCGCCTCTTTTATTGATTATTAACACACAAATCTAGATCCATCCTCTCTCAGGGGATTTAGTTTCCAGCTTGTTACTACATTCAGCGATTAAATCATGCAGGCATACAAGAAAATGTTTTATAGGTACCAGAAAGGCATTCAGTTCATTTGGAACTGGCAGTCTGCACGGAATTTTTTTGTATATTACTCATTCTTACATGGCATTTGCACATTTATTAGGATATAGAGCTGAAAAGACATGCTTTATGCCATACTTCTCAGGATATGACACCTTTACCTCTCTACAATACAAGCTCCTTCTGTCAGATCAGGGACGTGGCAAAAGGTGTAAACAAAGGAAACAAAAAGGTGACACTGAACTGAGGAACGACTGCAGAGTTTTCACAGAACAACACCGGCCATTTCACACGGTACCACAGGCGTTTGTGGGGCTAAAAATACACTTAAGGGGAAGCTCTGGCACTGCAAGGAATAAATGGCAAACATGATATTTCAGGCAATAAAAAAACAACAAAATTACAAATGATATATTATATAAGCAATAAATGAAAATTATTGGTACCACTTAAGTCAGTCATCATACTACTTTATAGATACATTCATAATGCATTATAATGGTAAATATTAGCCATTTTAATGCATTATAAAGTGCATTATAGATAAGAGCTTCATAGAGCATTCACAATGCATAATAAACGTGACTATAATGTGCTATGCCTTTTTATAAATAGTTTTAGCTGTGTTTATAATACTTTATGAACGTGCTACCTACTACCCAAAAGTCTTAGTACACACAGGAATTAAAAATGTGTCCTTAACCAAGTATTTCTAAAAGCTGCTCTCCAAACAAACTCAAACACAAAAAAATCCCAATTTTACTGTTACCTTGGAAACTGGTGTATTTGTATCAGTATAAAACTGTTTAAAACCTGTATCTATACTGTAGTGTACATGCTTAATATACATAATAACAGGGAAATTTAAAGTAGGACTGGTTAATAAAAGCACTTTACACCATGAATGGTTCTTAATTTGTCAGAGAAAGATTAAACATAGAGACACGATGACACTGCCTGCTTTTAATGATATCATGACTGCAATTATTATTAGGTGCAACTTTACCAAACATTATGGTATTCTCCAGTGCCCTGGGTCTTCTCATAATAAAATTAGATTCAAGGGAAGGTTTAGAGAATGAACTTGCATGTTCTTTCTGCACCCCATGGCATTCCTAAAAGTCTATGTCAGCACCAAAGTTTAAAGGCATCAATAATCACCCTGCCCTGCTACGTCACATCCATAAAGTGTGACAGGAAATGCCATGTTCTGAACAAATCTGATCTTTGTTCTCGTGAGGTACAGATATCAGAATGAGATATATGCACACATTTCAGAAAGTGCAGCCTCACGAGAGGATCAACCAACAATAGAGGGTAAATTTCACCATGAAATCCATAACATCTGAATAAAAGAATTATCATAATCCAGTGTATTGCTCTGCTTACACGAGGGTGGGCAGGGCTGGCCCAGTACTCTGCTGCTGCCCTCTGCAGCTCGAGAGAAACTGAACCACAGAAAAGGAACTAATTTATAATTTACAGGGTTCTCATTAATTCATTTCACTTATTATTGCTGAATATCATTTTTGGCCCAATGGTTCGGTTGACCTCCAAATTGACAGTTCACTGGTTGAGGGCTACAATTCTCTGTCATTTAAATTGGGTTTTGCAAGCGAATGAGAGGTGGAGAGGTGAGTGAGGCAGAGAAAAGCAGCGGAGAGAACCATTTGCCCTGACACCTGAATATTGCATACAGGACAATTTTACCGTGCATAAGTTATTGCAGAAAAAATGCGTACACACAAGCTGTCTAGCAGGAGTAATGAGAAATCCATCTCGAGGACACCAGCAGTCACCTCGTTGCTGTGGAGACACAATTGTTTTAGAGTTCTGTGGCGCCGCTGAACTTTTGGGTTATTTCTTGTTTAAGATGAAAGATCATTCTTTTCTATTTACATTTATCCTGCCCTGCACTAGCAGGGTTCTTGTTGCCCAGGAAACCTCAACAACCTCCACCTCTGGGTCAAGTGTCTGCAAGCAGGCCCCTCCCTTGGAGCAGCTCCCCCTTTAGTATTTCGATCCCTGTGGGGAGAAGCTCCGACACACGCCATTTATAAAGCCAGGGGTTCCCATGCTCCCCAGAACCCGAAAAACTGGAGAAATCAGAACACAGACAGAAGCCACAGTAACCAGACAGAGACACAAGTAAACAAACCACCAGGAAAAACAAAACAAAACAAAACAATCCTTAGCCAGCAATTTGTGAAACTGATGATATTTGAAACAGACCAGCTCAAAACATTCAGTTTTCAGCAGATCAGGATCAAATAACACTGGAAACATTTTGTTGACTAAAGAGATCTGCATTTAAAATCTCACAGGAAGAGAGGTAAAGCCTATCCTTAAATTACATTTACTGCATATGTAATTTGGATCCTGAGAGCTCACACACAGAGCACAGTGCTGGCCCGACACAGAGGAAAACAGCATATCTTGTCCTCATTTTACTAGACTGTTTATTGTGTGCCAAATGATTTAATGAAGAGCAGTAATACCGAGAGATAATGAATTAGTCTGAAGCGCTAATATAATTTCATCCTTTGAACCTCCTTATTATACTGAATGCAGTATCATTAATAGCCGTGATCTGGATGACAGAATGTCTTGCTCATCTGCACTTCATTTCATAGGATTACAACACATAAATGCTACATTTTTGTTTTGTTTGTGTGTGTCTGTGTATGTCTGTGTGTCTGTGTGGGTTGTGTATATATTACATTGACATCCCCATAGAAGTGAATGGAGAGTCCCCACAAAGCTATAATTACAAACCTTTGTGTGTGTGATTGTGAGTGTGTGTGTGCGTGCTTTGTAGGATAAACAAGCTGTAGTCCGTGTCTGTTGTTGAATCCCTTCCCGTTCCCCCTCTTCTTCCTTGCAATCATACCTTTCTGCTGAGCCTGGTGTTTGTACAGAATAGTAACTAAACCTGTACTTTCCCCGGAGCTTGAGCAGACCAAGGAGAAGGAGCTGATCATCGTGGCGGCAGCCACCTGGGGAAGACTCTCATTAACACTGGTAGCCCGTAATTTTCGATTTATAATTAAGACTCGTAAATACAGTGTTCTCACAACAGGGTGTATGGCAATAGAAAACTAGAACCAACAAAGCATATTACTGAGAGTACATATCTGATTGTTAGGGGTCTTACATGTCTGAGTCATGGCGGTTATAGACGGTGCCACAAGAGGCATTAAGATAAGAATGCACAGTTAAGTAGCATAAAACACAACTCCCACAATGCAATGCTGACCATTATTCATTATACCAGACTGGTTCATTATGGGCGACACAACCCTACTTTTTCTTCTACGTCGCTGTGTATATAGTGCTGACTGTCTTTCAGAAGCCCTAGAGTGACAGTGCAGAATCCTGTTTGTCTGTCTTAACCAACACTGTGTTCCCCTGCTTCTCTTCTTGCACCACCTGTTAGTCTGGCTAACAAGACAGAAGAACTGCATAGCATTATAATCATGCCTCGATATCCTTGGCCAGGGACGTCGACTGGGCACACAATGTGAGAACAGATACATTCCCACAAACACACATTCTCTTTAATACTTCACTTCTTTTCTATCCACATCTTTTCAATATATATGGTGTTTTCAGTTGTCTATATATTAAGAGAAATATGTCCCATTATCTAAATTCGACTCCAGATTAGTCCCCAGTGGACACCAGAAGAAAACAGTCCATCGATCTAGGGAATGTTGTTTGACTGCACATCAAAGCCAGTCGTTTTTGTCCTATAAAACAAAACGCTGATAGATTGTTATCTCAAGGGAACAGAGAGACTGCAATAAAGTTCCTGAAACACTACAGGTGTCAACCTGGGCATGAAACCCATGAAAAACAGTCTTGCTCACTGTTTCTCACTCACAAACAGAAAGAACACGATAGAAAGGGGGGGGGTTCCTCTCCTGGAGGGGGCTTCCTGAGTGCCAGTCACGCCCATCTGCCGTGCGGAGGCCCAAAAGAACACAAACTGGCTTCAGGGTATAAATACAGACCATCATTTCTTCAAACTGTTTCCAGAGACATCTTTGTTATCCAATTTATCAGAAATTCTATACCAGCAACGTAAAACCTTATGAACAAATATGTTTTACATATCAATGGCATGCAGACTACGGCAACAGCCCTGAAACACAGAGCTTATACATTCTAGACAGAGAGAAAAATAATGTTTTCTATAATAACATTACTCAAATAATTCCAACTGTTACCAGCTAGTTAAGCTAGCAACGGTAAAAACTGCATTCCTGACAATCAGATACAGGGGCAGCCACAAGTCAGAACTCCGGCAACACAGGGATTCTGCACAGAGAGACGGGCAGAGCACAGGAAACAACGCTGAGCTGTTATGTGCTGTACCTTAGAGAACCTTTGGAAAAGTTAATGATCCATTTAAAAAAAAGTCACAATTTCTGGTGCAAGAAGGATTTTTGACATAGTTCTCTTTAGTGGAACATTCATCACCATGGCTTCAGAAATATTCATATGTGAACATTGCTTCAGGTTAAACAGTATGTTGAACACCGAAATAACTGATAATGAGAAGTGTGGAGTGGGGGGGTGGAACAGGGCCAGCATATGAGTCGGGATTGTTCTGAGGGTCTGAGGTCGTCCCGCGGAGCA